CTCCGGGTGGCGCTCCGGAAAATGGCGGAATTCCCGTCGGACTGAAGGGAACCCGCTGCACGGAGGCTTGGGTCCTGCCGCTACGGCGCAGCGGGGACTCAGCAAAACCACAGGCGGAAGAAGCCTGTGGACGTGGGACTCGGCGGGCACCGAGAGCGCTCTCTCCCTAGGCCAGGAGCCCGGTAACGGGCTCCGGAGTGGGAGGTGCGTGGTGCTGTGAGTCGTCTGCTTCCTCCGTGCAGCAAAGCCGCACTGCCGTTATCGGAGAGCGCTGCCTTTTTCCTGGACAATTTGGCATCTAAAATATCTATCCGTGAGTACCTGATCTTGGAAGAGTTGAACCACTTTTAAGACTGGTGAATAAACAAATAATATTGGACTTGAAATTGAACTTAATTGGGACTCGGAATGGGAAGGTCTAAACAGGAAGTCGCCTTCCGTTCTTTTGTTATGTGAAGAAAGCAAAGACAAAATATACTAAAGCTTGAAAATTAAATTCTAAGAGAACTAGAATTCAACATCTAAGATTTCTAAACCCCCCCTTTGACTGCAGGAGAAGAAGGGGGTTGTATTTGGACTTTTCAATCCTGCGGAAGTGAGTTTAAAATAAAGCAATTTTCCACCCCCCTGAACCAGGAGCGGGCTGTCAGAATTGACGTTCTGAAGTTTATCCAGCTCGACAGTTAGTTAAAAGAAGGGTAACATTTTGATTCTACTGTTGCCTCTTGAATTTGGAAGGGGGAATTTTGGATAAAGTGTTTCTGGAAAAAGAAAGATTGTTGCTGTTGCTTTTATTCTTTTAAAAAAAAAAAAAAAATTCCATCTAGTCGAATTTAGTGAAATTGCAACGCAGAGAGATTAAAAGAGAAGGACTATTGGACTATTCTCGTGGGAAAGAATTTTCTTTGACCTTGAAGGACAATGCTAGTACAAAGGCTTGAACAATTGTTCCTGGAAGGTTTTTCAAAACTAAGTGCCCAGCTGGACCAGATGCGTCAGGAGACGACCTTGATGATGGAAGTTACCAGAGCACAGCAGCAAACTAATGAAATTCAGTTAAAGGCTATACAAGCATATGAACCTGCTGTAGTGACGGAGGCTTCAGAGATGGAGGGACCTTTGGACGGGCAAGATCAGCCTTTGAACCTGATAAATGAACTTGGGACAAACCAGATTCGGAAAAATGAAATGTGGTCAGATTTGGAAATGGGGGGAGGGATCGACCCCCCTCCATATGGTTATTTGGACCTTCCGAGTCTGGTGATGGGCTATCAGAGGATTGGAGTAGCCGAAGTCTCCAAGCTTTGTGGAAATTTGAAGTGGTATTATTTGCTGTCTGGCTTGGGCAATGGGTTTGGGATGGACTTGCTGCAAAGGGTCAAAAGCATTTTCTTGCTGGAGCATCCACGACTGGAAAGGAATCATCAACAAGAGTGGCGAAAGGGGCAAGAAAGAGACTTGAGGGCCTCGGATACGAGACAACCAGGTTAAGGAGCCGGATTATCGAGGTTAAAAGGACTGACAATCCCGGGTCCAGGGGAGGGGAGGTTGGAAGCTGACTGGACTGAATTTGACTTATTATTTTTTCTTTTTTAATATTGGGAATGCTTACAAATGTTTGAAGGATGTTGAATGAAATTACATGGCTTAAGTAAGGATTGGTAAATGATTCGTAAAAAAGTAATGATGCAAGAATTTGGTAAATATTGAATATAAGCTATGAGTTTTAAAGTTTTTATATGACAAGAGGGAAAATAGAATAAGGAAACGTAATGACAGATTGTTATGAAAAAACAGAAAGGATTTGCTGTAAAAATTAAAAATTAAGAAACAAAAGAGGGGAGGAGGAGGAAGTCTAGAAAGGAAGTCAATAGAGATTGTAAAGGACTTTATATTTTTGTTTTTCTGTTTCTCTTTTTTTTTCTTTGCGGCTGGGTTTTCTTTTCTTTTTTATTTATGTACTATCTTTGTTTTTTGTATCCTTAAATTTTTTTGGGGGGGGAATTTTTGTTGTTATTTTTTGAAAATTTAATAAATATCAATTAAAAAAAAAATAAAATAAATTAAATGAATGAATGAATAGATCAGAGCGTTGGAAGATTCAGGACAGATAATCCCATAGGAGGCCGTGATTACCACCAATGTGGATGTCTTTAAAAGAGGATTAGACAAAATTGTGGAAGGGAAAGTTACTGATCGCTACCACCAGCCATGATAGTTGGTGCAGGCCTTTAAAGCCCTAAACGGCCTCGGCCCAGTATACCTGAAGGAACATCTCCACCCCCATAGTCCAGCCTGGGGCCTTCTGGCGGTTCCCTCCCTGCGAAAAGTGAGATTACAGGGAACCAGGCAGAGGGCCGTCTTGGTGGTGGTGCCCGCCCTGTGGAACGCCCTCCCGTCAGATGTCAAAGAAATAAACAACTACCTGACTTTTAGAAAACATCTGAAGGCAGCCCTGTTGAGGGAAGTTTTTAATGTTTTATTCTGTTTTTAACATTCTGTTGGGAGCCACCTAGAGTGGCTGGGGAGGCCCGGCCAAATGGGCGGGGTATAATTATAAATTATTATTATTATTATTATTCCTTATGCTCTTATGGAGGAATCAGATTTCTGCCCCATCCCTAAGTAAAGGTAAAGGGACCCCTGACCATCAGGTCCAGTCATGACCGACTCTGGGGTTGCGGCACTCATCTCGCTTTATTGGCCAAGGGAGCTGGCGTACAGCTTCTGGGTCATGTGGCCAGCATGACTAAGCCGCTTCTGGCGAACCAAAGCAGCGCACGGAAACACCGTTTACCTTCCCGCCGGAGCGGTACCTATTTATCTACTTGCACTTTGATGTGCTTTTGAACTGCTAGGTTGGCAGGAGCAGGGACCGAGCAACCCCATCGCGGGGATTCGAACCACCGACCTTCTGATCAGCAAGTCCTAGGCTCTGTGGTTTAACCCACGTCCCACGCCCCATCCCTAGAGACCACTAATAGTGATTCGCCTCCTTGGAGCCTTATATGCTGTGGTGGAGTATGGGGCCCGCCCCCCCGCCCACGGTGGAAAAAGGGCTTCAGGGGGGAGCGGTCCTCCCCAAGACTCACCGGCAAAGCAACAGCAGCAATGTCCCGGGCCTCCTTGGAGCCTTATATGCTGTGGTGGAGTATGGGGCCCGCCCCCAGGCCCAAGGTGGAAAAAGGGCTTCAGGGGGGAGCGGTCCTCCCCACAAACTCACGGCAGAGCGGCAGACCTACATTGGCTCCCGGTACACTTCCGAGCACAATTCAAAGTGTTGGTGCTGACTTTTAAAGCCCTAAATGGCCTTGGTCCAGTATACCTGAAGGAGCGTCTCCACCCCCATCATTCTGCCCGGACACTGAGGTCCAGCGCCGAGGGCCTTCTGGCGGTTCCCTCACTGCAAGAAGCCAAGTTACAGTGAACCAGGCAGAGGGCCTTCTTGATAGTGGCACCAGCCCTGTGGAACGCCCTCCCATCAGATGTCAAAGAGAAGAACAACTACCAAACTTTTAGAAGATATAAGAAGACAGCCCTGTTTAGGGAAGCTTTTAATGTTTAATAGCTTATTGTATTTTAGTGTTTTGTTGGAAGCCGCCCAGAGTGGCTGGGGAAACTCAGCCAGATGGGTGGGGTATAAATTATTATTATTATTATTATTATTTAAAGGGAAGTTCTCTTTCTGCACATAACTGTGGCATTATGGGAGAAGTATTGCTTCTTTTCTCTTGCATTCTGGGAAGTCTCGCTTATAATCTTTTCTCTGCTTCTGCACACACTGTACAAACCTGTTCTAAACACCAAGACATTCCCTCATTCCTCAGTCCATCTTAAGTTCATGAACAAACAATATGACCTGTTCTTAATGCATAGCTGACCACATCTACGGAACTCGATTATTATATTCTTTCATGTTATGATCAATCATTAGTAATTGTTTTAGTCATCTTTATCTATATCAATCTTTAGTTATAATTTAATTAGGAGGCTTCATGCCTGTCTAGTTCCAGCTCCGTTTCCCAGCCTTTAATCTATCGGTGATTAATGTTTATATGTAATTCCCGCCTTGTACTTATGTTAACCAATCAGCAACAAGTTGCTTTGTGTTTGTATCAACCAATCAGCCACAAGCACACCTGTGGCAATGTTTGTAATATTCAATAAAAGAGAGTTCTCAGGGCTTGCCCCGGAAGACGCCTCTCATATGACACCTGCCACTCGTCTGTCGTGAATTCATTCCAACAATTATTCTTATTCTTATTCTTATTCTTATTCTTATTCTTATTCTTATTCTTCTTATTATTATTATATTCCCAGAGAGAGAACAGGGATCGTTTTCCCAAAGACACAGCTGATTCTGCGGTGATTGTGTCCGTGGAAGTGAGTCCCCGGCTGGCACGGTGCAACTTCACCTCCCCCTCGAAACCGGCCGTGCCCCAGGACGAGCAAGAGGACCGCCACCCAGAGCGCTTGTGTCCCATCACCCGCCAGACTGAGGTGATCCACATTCCATCGGCCACAGCATCCGCCGGATCGACTCGCAAAACCGCCAGTGGCGGACGGCCAAAAGGACCGAGGAAGCCCAGAGTAACCGCGGGGCACACAGAGGCAAAAAGGCGTCCTCCATGTTTGCACGGCTTGCTGGAGACGGACAGGCCGCAGGCCAGAGAGGAGGCGGGCCCAGGGCGAGCCAAAGAGGGGAGAGGCAGGGCAACAGTTTCCATGCGGATGTCGCCAGCCCCGAAACCAATCCTGCTCACGCCCCAAGCCAAGGAATCTAAAGACAAAGCGAAGGTGGGTGTGTCGCAAGTCTTTACTTAAAGAGTTGGCAGCCGGCGGTTATGGCATCGCTGCAGTGCTGGGGTTTGAACCCCTGATGATTAGCAAGGATGGTTGTTGCTGGAAGGAGGGTACTTTTTTTCCTTTTTCCCAATAATTTTTATTAGTTTTCAATTACAAAATATCCAAAACAGACCTCATTAAAGGGTAAAGGGACCCCTGACCATTTGGTCCAGTCATGGCCGACTCTGGGGTTGCGGTGTTCATCTC